TTGCGAAGGTCAAAGGGACACGTCGTGTAATTTGTCAGGACACGCGCAATTATTCAAATTCTTCTTCGTCGCATTGTCCGCTTTATTATTGTTGTCCATTGCTATTAGGCGCATCCCCCGGGGCGTGAGATAACCGTGGTGGCGTTCCCTCCGTTTGACACCTACCTATTGGTTCATTATCTCGGTGCTGTTTTTTTATTCTCAGTTTCTTTTCTCCTTCACGCTCATCGCGTGTTTTTCTCCGGTTTCTCCACGGCGGTCTTCTCTACCCATCGAACCCTCCTCTATAATGTATATTATAACAGTTTTGTCTACGGCTCATTTAGCACCCGAATTAGCATATCGTGATAGACGCACGGACTCACAAAAAAAAAAAAACATTCTGAGAATGAAAAATATGTGCGCTCATATTTTCTAAAGAAGAGGAGGGCCATTTGTCCTCCGCCGCTCTCGATGACGATGATGATGATGCGTGTCCACTAAAATATTGTTGTTATACATAGTATGAGAGACACGCGTGTATGTATCGCATCGTGTATACTGTATAATATATTATATGCACACCGGTCAACGCGTTTTGGCGACATCTCACGCTCTCCGCGGTCTGAGATGCGTGTGTATGTGTGTGTGATTGCTTGTTGCGCGTGTGTCTGGTGCTTTATTTATAGAGATGAATCCCAGGGGCGTTGGTAACAACATATGCAAGCAGTAAAACTCTATATACATCTATATAATATTATATATAATAAAGATTTGACTCAGTGTCGTTATATATTAGTATAAGTCATAACTGAGTTTATTTTCCGGGGCTTTGAGCCAAAATCTGACGGATTATCTGCAAATATTCGCGTTCTCTAAAAATAATCTCGGGCCCCGCCGTACATAAACGCACCAAAGTCGAGAGTTCCAGAATTGTACAATGTATAATAACACGGATGAAATACCTTGTCGGGTGCACCGCAATGCTCACTAGGTACACGCCGCCGAACGCACAGTATCTACATGTGGCGAGTCTGTGCGCCTATAATAGCTGGTAAAATAACTATTGTAATATTCGTCATTAGTAAGAACGGAGTTTTGCAACGACAACACGTTAAAGTGTACACCTCTGGACAGTTAAAACGGTTAATTCTATATCTTGGAACTAGTCCTGCTACGTATTATATTGTGGTATAGCATATTATGGGATGTATTTTTAAATTTGTTCTTCCTTATTGTAGGTTGTCTACAGTCTAGGGTTTAATTGTTTTCATTATTATTATTCAGTAATAATAGTGTTTGCTTGCCAAACAGTAACGGAAAATCTCGTTGAATTTTTTTTAGTTTGGATCTGGTTTTACGATCTTTTGCGTGGCAGTATATATTATATATAAATATATATAGCATTATAGCTTCCGTCGTTGAACAGTCCAAAAACGACGAAGAGTCGAAAAAAAAATATAGTCGTAAAACCTTCCTGAGTAGAATAAGGGAGGTTCAACTTCTATACTCATATACAGCGCTGTACGTCATTCACCGCGCAGAGTCTGCAGAGACAGTATGCTCCCTTATTATTATTATCATTATTATTATTACTATTTAGGAGATGAACAGCGCAATTTTACGACCGAGCATTACCTTAAAAACGCTAGAAATTTTACGATCCATCAACCCCCTGGCCATAGGGTACAGACAAGTACAGTATATATAAATATACGTGTATAGTAATTCTTATGTGCAATACAATGAAAAACGCGAGAAAAAAAGAAAGGGAAGTTTTTCGATTACCATTCTAGCTCAAGTTCGTCCTCTTCACATTTATTTTTTTCGGGGCTTGGCGTGACAAGGAAACTGAATTGGGGTTTACAAGATTTAATAACGGTGTATTTTATAGCCGGGAAAAAGCACAACACCACTCATCGTTCCAAGTACACTAGAATTCTCAATTATTCATTATAATTTAAATATAATATATGATATACACATATATTATGTATGTAGTACAGGGCTACGTGATCCACGGGATCCGCCAACTAAATATTCATTGTTCTGTGATAAACAAAAAAAACCTACAGTCTCCGTTGCGACGACGAGACAAGTTCTAATTTTAATAGTTTCCTACCACTGACGGTGTTGCTTCTGCTCGTACTTTTCATCTGGGATAAATCGTTGTTATATTCACTACGTTCTTATGTAGCCTATACTGCTGTATAAATCGCATACACTTAAATGCTTAATACATTCGAATTGAATAAATAATGGTTATATCACTTATGTGAGTTTTTATGGACCGTCACGTATATAGTATTCTGATTTCGTTTTAAATTCTTATTTGGGTATCTGTTGCATGGTTCAGTTCCATTTTATAGATTTAATAATACAATTGTGCCGTTTAACTACGTATTCGTTTTAGACATTTACACATTGATTCTTTGGTAAATATTTGATGTAGGTATATGTGTATATTTTTTACATACTAGTATGCTAATAATGCATAAAACGTTTCTAAAACTTTACTACTTTGTAATAAACTAATAAATAATAAATTGTTAAAAAATTTATCGTATCTGAGAATACTATTATATTTTATTTCGTCCGTGATCAAACCTTAAATGTTCTAAAGTTATTGAGGCCTGAAAAAAATACGGTTAAAACTTAAAAATGCCCTTACCTATATTTAAATACAGGTATGTAGGATTTGTATGTATGTACGAATAAGTTGACGTTAAAAACATTTAAATAGTTTGTAACTTGTAAGAACTATAGATCATATTTTCCACCCTTGATATCATCCTTTCTCTTATTAATGCTCTTTCAGCCAATACTATAATTATAATTAAACATACTCTTAATTTTTTTTTAATCATTTTATGTTAAAATCTCAATGACAAAATAATAGTCTGTGTCTTTCCTTTTTGGACCTTTTCAATTTTTTTGAATATTTATATCTATCATAAATGTGAATACCAAATATTGCTTGTATTACAAGAGCTATTTATTTAACAGTTTAAAAAATTGTTGACTTTTTGCTTTGAATGGCTGTTTCATAACGCTGGTTTAATAATACATACAGGTGATAAATGTTTTATTTTTAATATAAAAAAGTGTTTATTTATTCAAAGTAAAATATTAAAAATTGATTTTAAAGATTTTATTGCATAAAAAAAAATGCCGTGGAATCTAAATTTGTTGATAATTTGTTATTTACATATTATTTATAATTATAGTATAGTTAATTTAAGTTGTTAACACATACAATTCAATAAAATGTGTTTTAATTTAAGGCTAGGTTATTAATGTTAACTAAATAAATTATTTTCATGTTTACACATCAACCTAATTTTTAAACAACGAAGTCATTCAAAGTACAATGCTTGTTGTTTGTAATCAATAATCATATATTTATATGATACTGAAATTACACTTAAGTTGTTTGTTGTTAAACAACAGTGGTAGAGTGAATAACCTAAATGTACACATATATACAATATACCTTAAATAAGTTATTTAAACTAGGAATTAAAATGCACTGGGACCAATGTACGTACACGCTTACATGTAATAAAGTTCATATAATATTTAAAATTATATATTTTTACCGAGTTATTTACTTATTTATTCGTATTATATCAATTTTAACTTTAAACTTTGAGAGTTGAATTTATCGTTTGATAACTCATAACTTGATACATTCTTATGTTGACTTTTACTTAACTAACTCAGTTAATTACGTACATTAACTGTCCGCCTTTGTAAATTAGTATGAGATATATAAATACACTAAATTTCCATAACTTATAAGATGGAGAAAATGTTGAAATCAATACTCATTGAAAAATTTAAACTCCTGACAAGATGTCAAATTATCAAGGGATCGACGAATTGAATATAAGTGTTCTCTAGTAAAAATCTAAATTCATATAGACCAAATTGTATTTTGTTGAACTATATGAATACGTAATTAGATGTTTAAATTATATTTGTTTGCTATCGCGTTTGTGTTTAACTTCAACATTTTTAATGAATCGTCATAATTAGTTTGTTACAAAAAACCCCAAAGATGAAAGTTTTTGTAATAAAATAAGAAATAGATGGGATCTTATTTTAATGAGAAATGTATATGCTCAAAAATGTGTTTCCAAATTGAAACAAATCTAAACTGTTAAACAATCAAATATGTTTATAAACTGTTATGATTAATTTAATTGGGTCAATATTTGTGAAAACCTCATCCTTGAAATCTAGATCCTGACCATTTTTGAATTCAAAAAATGTTGTACTGTTCATAAAAAAAAAATGTACAGTTATTGAAAAACTGAGACGTTTATACGGACGCGTATTGCTTTTGTAATATTACAATGTCTAACACAAACAGCTAATATCCTAAGGACCTAAGACTTTGACGATAATATGTAATAAGTTTCATTTATAGTATTATCTTTTGTTGTCTTATGTGGGGTATATTAACAAGTAACTTGATGCACAGAGTGTTAAATATCAATGCATATTGTATGTTTACGTTTGTGAATTGTTTGATGAGAAGGAGCGATAAGCGTAATATTGAAATTATTTTAGTCTCTGTTATATGACTTTTGGACGTGTGATCAATTATATTTTATTATAGGTATTATGATAATTACAGTTCTGTCCTGAAATTACTTTACATTTACTTTTTCAATTATTATCTTTTAATGAAAATTTGGAATTCGTACGATTGATCTATAAAATATCGTTTTCTTTCCTTAAGTTTTGAACATAATATAATACTTAAAAAGTTAAAATATAAATTCTATTTAACACCAGGTCCCCTCGTATTACCCGATCGATTGAATGAAACCTATTTGTGTGTGACCCACAAAAGCTTTTCCTGCCACTGAATAGCTTAATATAAAATAAAGATTAACATTGAAATATGTGTGTAATTTACTCATAATAATAAAAAAATATATAATAAGGTATAACGTCATCGACTCGAACAAATTGAATCATTAGTGATTGTGTTTATTTTTGAACTTTTTTAGGCGTGTCATCGAGAAAATCGATCAGTCCGAATTCGAGGGTTTTGAATACGTGAACCCATTGCTGATGTCGCAAGAGGACAACGTGTGACACGAGGAGGACTGCGACGATTACGCCGCACCCCACAATATGCAGCATTACCATCACGAAGCCGACTGTCCCTGTTCGACGACCATCGACTCGCCACCCGACAACGGCAGGCCGCCGTCTAGGGGATGGTTCTGCTTACCGCTCCGATAAGTACTCCCCCCATAAAAAAAAAAATGTGATTATTATAATGATACAAATCCGCCGACGACGACGGCCATATTTATTTTATATATTATTATTAAAAATATTTAATTATTTGATTATTATTATATATAGTTACTCGCGCGTGTCCGTCGCCGGCGTCGACGGTTTTCAATGGCTCAACTTATTCCGACGATTTATCATTTTCGGTTTGAACTTACTTTATAATTCGTTTTCAAAACCAAATTCTAAAACGTTTTAGTTCCTCTTCGACATATATTACTCGCTTTATTTTCCATTGTATACATAAAAAAAATATACATATTATGTTATATTTACGTATATTATAATGTATGTATATAAGATGTATAATGTATATGTTGCCGTGTGTGTATCGGATACAACTTTTTACCGTAAACTTCGTTCGTCTCTAACGCGTATGTTTGATATATGCAAAACAAACATCGTTATCACTTGCCTATTGATGACGACAAAATAATATGAGCTCCCAAACTCACCAACCCACCCACTCACACGCCGTCGACGGCCAGACAAAAAAATTAACTCGCCGATTTAACGGACCGTGTAGCACGTACTAACATTATTATTATTATTACTACTACTACTATTATTATTATTACTATTTATTAGTGTTATTATGTTTTTATTCGTTGTGAAAAACGTGTTGTACCCCACCGTATACGCTTACCGCGGCCTTTGTTCTGCAGAAGAATTTTTTTTATGTGTACAAGTGTTGTGTAAAAATGTCCAGCTCTCACCTCCTACCCGATCTATTCATAACACACTCATACAAATATTGACTGATCTGTGCATCGTGGTGGATCGTCATTTATATATATATATATATAATATGCAAAGGGAAAGAGAGAGGAATAAAAAAACACCGCGCCTCCTCCCCTCCGTTTTTGATTTTATATAAATTATAATATCCATTCATTTTCGTCGTTGGTCTCTAAAATATTGTGAAAATCCACCTCCCTGAACCGCGAAATTCATAAATCAAAATTGACGATGAACGACCAGGATCCCGGTTTTTTATGTAACGCACGACGACGCGTTTAGATCGGTACAGTGCATAATATTATGCAAATTGGTATCCTACAATGCTCAATGATTAATAGTAATAATAATAATAATAATAATATATTTAGATGATCTAATTACATTCCTTATTTAAATTTACAATTTATATAAATGATAAATATTTTATACATATAGGTATTGCACTCACATATTATATTATTATTGTATTAATACAATGCATTTGGTATTTTTAATCATTAACGCACGTGAATTTTTATTAATGTTAACCTAACTATTTAGTACGTTATTTTTAAGTTCTTATACAAGAAAATATTATTACTTTTGTACTATTATTTATTTATTTTACTCAATCTTTAGTATTATTTACATAAGTATTTTTCTTGACTTTCCGGCCAATGTAGTGAATTTTTGTCATACATAAATTATTAATATTATATTATACTATATTATATTATTACGTCCGAATGGAAGTATAAACAGTACCGTTTTTACATAGTTAAACTGTATTCCCACACACAGATGTCCGTTGTTTTTATTTAAGAAAAAAAATTGTTTGCACGTTATTATTGTGAATATAATATGATATAATTATTTAAAATTCTTACGAAAATTATTATATTTGATTAAGATGTTGATCGGTATTGCAAATTTTAACAGATATTAAATATTGTTATTATATCTAGATTTATATATATAATATATATATATATGTACCTCATTGTACTCGTATTAATTTATAGTATTATTATGAATGATAAATAATTAAATTATCTAAAACGATTCCGAGAGTTATTATACTACTACTATTATATATAATATACATATACGGTTGCTATCTTATTTAGGAAAATTATAAAACTTATTATTTTTTCGTTGTTGTACTAATTTCTTTCTTTTTACCTTAGAAGTAACGTTCCGATTTTTACTCCCTTGTACGTTGAAATACAACCAAGTACTAACGTACTTACGTATTATGCAGCTCAGCGGCCGAGATCTACGTATGTATGTGGTGTATTGGAGCATAAATAGTTAAATATATTATTTAATGCTTTAAATATTTGCAAATCGGTACTTTCTTGATTCTATACGTTTATAGGTACCGTATAGGTTGTATTATTATTTTTCACTCTCACTCAAGGATCGAATTATTTTAGAATCGTTCGTGTGAAGTAGTGAGCACCCGCTACTCGGTCATCATTGACATGTTTGCCGCTCATATTATAAAATCGCAGTGGCGTCTTCTCCTGCACCACAATAACAACTGTGACAATTATTATTGTCGGATATCGAGAGATGTCATATTTTATTATACCAATGTGTGTGGAAAAGTTTTTGATCATTTCTCTTATATAACCGTAAAAATTATATGTTCAATGTACATCTGCACTGAAATAACGGCTGGTACCTGCGCTGTATTTTATTGAATATACATGCCATAATATTTTTTTTCCTCAACGAAAAATATCAAATTGATATCTTTAACTAGTGCAGCATATTTCCATCTTATTCAAAGTGTACTTATTTATTTGTTTAGTAACCAGTGGTAACTATTACCACCCTTTTGAGTTTTTGGCCCTTCTTATTGTATAGTGGCAAAAAATATTTCTAAAGGTTCTTCTATCGAGTACGTATCACACATCTCTTATCACCATTATCGCTCATAAATATATGTTTTATTATTATTGGACTCAATAACTAGTTAACAGTTTTAACCTACATAACCTCGACAGCAAGTTTCGATTATAATAGCTAATTGATGCTTGATTGATCTATGGTAACATTTTTTTCCCGCTGTGTATTCTTTTGACTGTTTCTTGTTGCTAGTCGGCTACTATTTATAATAATTCCAAGGTATTCAAAGCTTTTTTCCACTTTATCAAATGTAAAATTTTCCGCTCGTACTCTACCGAGGTCAAATTATATTTGTTTCTCGAGGGAATCATAAATTTAGTTTTTTTTTAGTTAAAATTCAGTCCCGTATTTTCACCGATTTTTAAAGGTTGGATATATTTTTGGGGTACATCTTATTTGTTGGTCTCTATAATTACTTAAGCATCGATAGTTAACCTATTGTTTGTGATTACTATTCTTTGTCCATGTAATAACTTACCATGATGTTCTCAAATCCCAAGTTAAATATAGTTGAATATAATGCGTATCCCTGTCTCACAGAATTTATCTCAAATGCTAAAGAAACATACTCTTATTATATTTACATCATTTTTTGATGTTCTAAAAATGTTGTCATTGCTCTCCGGAAATCGTAAATGTTTATAAACTATACGTAGATTAATCTACGTAATCTTTAAGTTCAACCGTACTATATTGTAGGCATGTCCTACTAGATGATCTGGCCGGTTTATTTTATTTGAAAAATGTTCAAAGTATTTTTATATTCTTTCACTTGAGTTCTACTGCATCTTTTTCATTAGTCACCAAGTCATTTACCTGATTCTTTACTGTTCAAGTGTGCTGTTTACCTATATCCCTGTTGTGTTGTATAAAATATCCTATCCCACTTTTCGTAGAATACATCTTATGCGTCATCTATCTTACCCTACTTTGATGCATAACAGTATGATCTATGATATTATATCGAAGATTATAGTAACCGGACGTAGTAAAGACAATCTCTTATTGCCAAAAAAGATTTTAAGTAATCCTACTCTATTTGTATGGTTCCATTTCATTCCCCCGTAGAAAATTGTTTTATTATTATTTTCATATTTATTTCCCAAGGCTTCTAGTAAAGCCAGTTATATTATATTCGCTCCCCAGTTTTATCTTATGCGGCTATTTTGTGATTTGTTTTTAGTGACTTGTTTCATGATTTAGCCATGTAAGGTTGTTAGCCTTAAGATTATCTCATTTTGTTGTGCATGGTACATTGGTACATGGCATTGGTGTGATTTTCATTTTTACTGACGATTTTTAATTCAAAAATTGTTTCGTCCAATACGTACTCGGCCGAGGTATTTGATTCTACTGAACCGTAACCGCAGAGTTCCAATAATCGAGAATAAAATATAGGTAATATCATACTGTATAGTTGTTTGTCGTGCACCGACATTTTTAAACGACCGCTCTCGAATATTGTTATACAAATTATAATTTTCTTTGGTTTCGTTTTGGCAACGCTTCGTTACTACTCGTCCGTCGGAATTTGGACTTCTTTATTGTGTTTAAGAGGGGCCAATGATCACAAAATTATTTAATTATGTTATGCTTCTAAGTTTGCGAATGCAGTTTTTCTCAGGCACGTAATTTAGGGGGCAGTGGAAGTGATTCCTCCCCCCCCCCCAAAAAAAAAATAGAACGTATTGTAGTAACTAATAGTGAAAATACTATTTCTCCAAAATTCAAAAACACCAACCTTCGATGGGTTATCGGTGACGAAATTAATTCCATAAAAATAATGTTTACTTGGGAGATGTTTTATCTGCAGACTGTAGCCTTAAAAGATCCTGGTCCACCGGAAAGTAGTTATAAGTTTGTCATAATATACTGTTGTGATAATTGGGAAAAAAACATTTAACCAAAATGAGGCATGGCATACCCATACTGCTCGCATAATCACAAGCTAGTCTCACGGGTGTCGTCGAGAGGGATGAGTCATAATGAATCTCTTAAAAAAGCACAGAAAAAAAATCTAATGGAAAAAAGCCCATTTAAAAAAATTGATATATAATTAATATGAACACATATATTATACATAATGTACTGTAGTATAATAAGTAATAATTTATAATTATAAATTGTTTTATATTATTAGGTAATTAATGATATAATATAGAACCTACAGTCAAAAAACATCAGTATTATATGTATATACTACATTTATGACACAACAATAAAAATAATAATATATAATAAGTCAATACAAAACAGGCTGTAGTACTTTAATACTATTAGCTCGTTGCTCAAGTTTAATACAAAGGGAATGGATACACACCAATGGACTTACTACGTTGTTCTTATCCTTCTTTGTAATATCAGATATAGGTACTAGGCCATTAGTTATTATTATTTATGATTATCTTCTGTTATCTATATTATGTACTATTAAGTATTATTGTATGATGCTTTTTCGAATTAAAATCAACAAAATATTTTAAAAATATAAAATAGTACAATTGTATGGCATTTGTATGGATTTATTTCGGTGGACTTTTTTCCGCTTACCGGCTATAATATAATAGAATCAAACGTTTCCTGACTGACTCATTGACTGATGAATGTGGAGTCTAAACAATGATAGCTCGAGGCTTGCTATTTTCACAATACCTTCTATCAACATGTAAGCGTACACTAAGAAAGAATTTTAAAGTAGTACTTGAATAAGTGTTTTGAGATTTAAGATGGTCATTATTAAAATGCATCTCCATAAAACTTTAGAAATAAGAAATTTTAAGTTTTAAAAACCATTACACCGAATATTAAATAACAAATTCAACAAAGTTTGAATCATAAGAAATGCCATTTTCAACAGGCAACGAAGTGCATGAGGTCTGCTAGTTATGTATAAAAGAATAGGCTTTTTTACGTAGGTATTGCGTTTCTGACATATTTAGTTTTTCAGTATTCCGATGAAAATTTTGAACCCACGATTTTGTTTTTTGAAGGGGAGGTATTTCAATGGTTTCAAAAGTTTTACTGTGATGTTTAATACGTTTTAATAATTTCACAGTTTCTAATTTTTCCAAGAGTGAATCTGGATTAGGAATCAGCTTGTGTTATGGTGTTATGAAGATCAGACTATCAAACTTCCATAGTAGAATATTTGTATAACAAATGCATAATTTAAATTTCGGAAAATTGATTTTTAATTCCATACTTC